TAAGATTTGGGGAGGGGGGACCAGCAGTTAGCATAATGGCTATGTCACTGGACTCCCACGTAGTCGACCGCAGTTCGAGTCCCGGACCCGGTGGCTTAAACTCACACCAGGCGCGTGTGCGTGCGTGCCCAAGATCCCGAGGGGAGAATGGAAGAGAAGGGATTGCGGTGTGGCGATCCCCCTTGAGGGGTGATTTCTCGCTTTCTGTCTCTCTGTCTCTCTCTGTCTGTCTGGCGAATACACACGCCATATAGCAAAAACCTCTCCCCACCCCACCCCCCAAAAAGATTTTTTTTTGGGGGGGGGGAGCCGGCAGGTGGTGTGGTGGTTAAAGGTGCTGGACTCCCACATGGTTGACCGTGGTTCGAGTCCTGGACCTGGTGGATTGTTTTCTCACTTTCCCTCTCTCTCTCTCTCTCACTCTGTCCCGTTCTGGTCAAATTAAAGTATAATAAATAAAGTTAAATAAAATAATTGTTAAAAAACATTTATTTTAGGGGTAGGTATGTGGGTAGGAAGCAGAAAAAGCAGGTAAGAAACTTATGAAAATCAAGGTTCCCTGAAATAGAAAATAAATTTAACTAACTAGTATTAACTAAACTTACACTTTTTAAATCATTTACCTAACTAAACTTTAATATGTAAAATTGAGTCTCACTAAATAGTATAATTAAGAGCACACTATTTTCTATGGGATTTAAAAACTACCAGTTACTCAACTATACATTAACAAATATCACTGGCAAATGACTTGGGCAATCAAAGCTATTCATAGATAAGTATGATTAAATTATGGGTGAATAATAAGTTAACTGAATAAAGTCCATTTATTAAAAGTAAGTAAGTAATTAAACTACTCAATGTGCACAACGATGAAGAAGGAGCGTCTATATTTTTCCCACACTCAATTAAGATTTTACATTCTTTTATCATTTGGTATAGGAGTGCAGGAATGATCTGTATAAATGTTCAATGACACAGAGAACAACCATTCTTTATGTGATGGTAAGGAACTCAATGCAAAGAATCAAAAGCTTTCATCCTTGAAATTTGTCACAGAAAAAAATTAGTAAATCTGTTTTGTGGAAAAAGTGCTTCTCCTTTTGAACTCAAATATTCAATGATTACATGTTCTGGAGTCTTCCAAACAAAAAATAAGAATTTTAAAGAAATATAAAACTCTCACATAAAACTAGAAATGATTTTCAAAAGGAAAAAAGTAATTCAAAAATCGTGATGGAAAGCTACACCAATAGTTTCTTCATGATTCTATAAAACGTTAATAAAAGGGTTACATAATCCCCTGGATTAAAGATTTTAAAGAGAACTGCAAAGATCTCTTTCAGTTTCCAATACTGTTTCTCTATTCTAACATCCATAAGAACAGATCTACATCAACTCCTATATATAAACCATCTAGCTTCAACAAAAGAAAAATCAAACCAAGAACAGAAAACATTATAGGTATAAGTATCGTACATTGCATTTAGGTTCCTCAAACCAGCTAAATTTACGACATATACCACATCCAGTTCATTCTCCAGGGAGAGAAAATCATCAAAACAAAATCTCCTGCTTAATAAATTACTTTCATTGTAGTTAAGCCTTTATCCCAGGTGCTATTTGCTACTAAGTATTATCATTATATCTCCCCACAAAAATCTAAAAATCATACATCTAATTCCCTTTAAAAAATGTCTTTATATTATGTTTTGTATTAGTACAAAGACAAGAAATGTTTTGGGGGTGGAAGGTGGCATGGTGGTTAAGGGTGCTGGACTCTCACATGGTCCACCACAGCTCAGATCTGGCGGCTTACTTTCTCCCTTTCTCTCTCTGTCCCTTTCGGGTCAAATTAAATAGATAAATAAAGTTAAATAATTCTTAAAAAGAAAAAGAAATGTTTTAAAATAATTTTATACTCTAAAAGAAAATATCTTTTCATTTTTTCTTTTGAAATGTTTATTTGGTTTTTGCTTATTTCCTGTACATGAAATGTTTTCAAACCAATTCATTTTGGCATTAGTTATTTACTGTCAATATGTCCATACACTTAGTTTGGTTTGTTTGTTTGTTTTTGTTTCTTTTTTTTTTTACAAGCAATTCTATACAGAACAGTGGTTAAAGGAAGGGAGGGGGTGGTGTACAAAAAGACACAAGTGAAACAAAAGTGGACCACATCTGAGAAACAACACTCAATTTCTCTGCCTCAAATTCCCTTAAGTTCTCTTGCCAAAGATTCTCAATATCTGAAAATGTTCCACAGAGTCAGAGGCACCACTTAATAGAAAAGACAAACACAGGAGAAACTAAATCAGAAACTAAAGAAATTTAATGGAATGTATTACCACCTGAAAAAGAAAGAACACAAAGAGAAAATAAATAAATAATGAACCCAATGCCAAGATAGTGGTGGGTTACTTTTGCTGCACTGAATGGCTCAAAACAGTTTTTCAAATTTTTTTGACTGTAGGAAATACATTTTTTAAATTGTAGCCTAATACATAACATATATGAAAAAAGTTTCCTAAAACAATACTTTCCCTTACCAAGTACAATGATAAAATCTGTACTCTTCTACTCCATTTTATTTTCACTGCTGCTGGTATTCAAAAAACTGATTTTGTAATTACTAACAAATCATGATTCACAGTTCGAAAAATACAAAATTTAAAAAAGGTATCCTTTATAACAGGATCTTTTTAAGGCTGCTATATGATTATGCTTTTATTAAGGCAAATGGTTTTATTTTTTTTTTTTTTTTTTTTTCTTGGAAAGATTTTCACTGTAGGGCGCGTGCGCTCGCCAGACAGACAGAGAGAGACATAGAGACAGAAAGCGAGAAATCACCCCCCAGGGGGGATGGTCACGCCGCAATCCCTTCTCCTCCATTCTCCTCTCGGGATCTTGGGCACGCACGCACACGCGCCCTGGCGTGAGTTTTAAGCCACCGGGTCCGGGACGTGAACCGCGGTCGACTACGTGGGAGTCCAGCGACAAAGCCATTACGCTAACTGCTGGTTCCTGGCAAATGGTTCTTAAAAGTGTAGTCCCTTGACCAACATATCACTTGAGATAAATACAAATTACTGGGCCTCACCCCAGACTTACTGAATCAGAAACCAGGGATTGGGCCAAGCAAACTCTAGTTTACCAAATCCTCCAGGTGATTCTGATGCAATCTAATTTTATTATAGAACCAATGCATTAAATAACTCAGGTCTTTACCCTCCTAACAATCCAATACAGAGTGTTTAACAAATGCCAGTCGCTATTCTAAAAGCCCTACAAATATTAACTCATTAAAAAAAACAACAACACCTGGGCCAGCAGGTGGTGTAGTGGCTGAAGATCTGGACTCCCACATGGCTGACAAGGGTTCCAGACAGGCCAGACGACCTTAAAAGGATGCCAGGCACGCAGGAAGGGCACAAAATCCCAAGAGAAGGGATTGTGGTGTGGCCATTCCCCCTGAGGGTGATTTCTCACTTTCCCTCTTGTCTCTCTTTCTTTCCAGTTTGCCCTAAGGCAAAAGCACCCAGCTCAAAAAAAAAAAAAAAAAAAAAAAAAAACCTTCTGAATAGGAACTACTAGTATCCCTATTATGCTAATGAGAAAACTGCACAAAAAGTTAAGTTATTCAAGCCAAAGGGTGAAACTAGATTTCAAACTTATTTTCCATTAGCAGGGCATGCCCATCCTCTCTCTGATCAAGTCCCTGATTCTATGACTTTAGTTCGGCTACTCCTCTTTTTCCTCCCAAATTTCCAGTCCTGTCAATGACCTTATTATCTAATATTGTTGCCATCATCCTAAAACAAATTTCTAAAACACTGGAATGCAAGACACTTAACCTTGCTTTTAAGACCTTTTTTGAGTCCTAGACAGCATCTTAGTATTAATTAAGAAGCTGAAGTTTCTTCTACTTCTGAAAATGTTGGAACTTATTAATAGCCCCATTGCTAAGTCCTCGTACCTACTGTCACGGCCAGTTTCCCAAGACCACCACCCTCTGCTCCCTAACTCTTTCCGACCCTTTCTCGCTCTCTAATTCCATCTACACACTCCCTCCCTCCAGGGAAATCATTTCTCCCCTCCCACCTCTGTCCCATTTTGCTAGATGCCTGTCCGGCTAAGAGAACTTCCACTCCCTCGCTGGACCTTACACCCGACCTACTCCTCGAGCACTTCTTTCCTAGTTCCCTGGGGATCCTGCCAATCCAGTCTTGGGTGTTCCATCCCAAACCAGCTGCGGGGGGCAGGGCGCTCCGGTTGCTCCCAAACTGTTCAAGGTCTCTAAGGGTCCGACCCTCCGAAGTCCTGCCACTCCTCATCTCCCCAGGAGCCCTCCCCCCTCCGACAGGCGCCTTGCTCCGGGTGGTCCCCACCTCCCTCGGCACCTTCCCCCAGACGCTCCCACTCGGACCCAGGCCGCTCCCTGTCACCCAGACTGCGGCCGCCCGGTCTTCCCACCTCCCTTCTCTCTCGGACCCCGGCACTCCCAGTTCTCCAGGGCCCTGCGCTCCACCGCTCCGGCCACTCCCGAGCTTCCCGGGCTCTTCTTCGCATTCAAGCTGTCCCGGGTGTTCCCAAGTCACTCTGCCCTCGGACCAAGTCGTTACCGGTCATCCCAGGTCACCCCCACTCCGGGACCCCGGCCGCTCCTGACTCCTCAGGGATCTAGCCTCTCACACGCCAGCCGCGGGTCAGTGCCTCACACCCAGCCGCCGGACTTCCCAAGGAGGGCCCTCCTGGCCTGACCCGCGAGGGTCCGACTCCAGCCTACCTCCCCAGCGTGAACTCCGCCGCCAGGAGCCGGGCCATTCTCCCACCAGCCCAGTCAGCGCGAACTCGCCGCCGCCGCCCCCGCCTCCGCCCCGGCCCCGGCCCGGACCCGCAGCCCAGGCTCCCTTCCTCGGGCCTCTGCTTCGGAAGCGTTGAGCTGGAGTTTCCGCCCGGCAACGGGCCCCAGATCTCAGGCCTGCGTTATCTGCACTCACCTGCCTCTGCCTCCGACCAACTCCAGCGCCAATGCCTCTACCTCGGCGGCCAGTAGCTAGCAAGCGCCACCACCACCCCGGCCCCGGCCCGGACCCGCAGCCCAGGCTCCCTTCCTCGGGCCTCTGCTTCGGAAGCGTTGAGCTGGAGTTTCCGCCCGGCAACGGGCCCCAGATCTCAGGCCTGCGTTATCTGCACTCACCTGCCTCTGCCTCCGACCAACTCCAGCGCCAATGCCTCTACCTCGGCGGCCAGTAGCTAGCAAGCGCCACCACCACCCCCATGACAACAGGCCCACCCCGTTTCATACTTCCGACCCACCCATTGGATAGTGGGGCGGCGGCTCTCTCCTATGATTGGTTTAGTTTTCCTGCCCGTCATCGCGTCTTTACCGCCCCTTTTCCTGGACCCGGTATTCGCCCCCTCCCGGACCTGGAGAGTCCAAGACAAAGATTAGTTGTAATTGGTTGATAGTTGAACAGTTCGAAGATATGATAGGTTGTCTTAAGTGTCTGTTAAGTTAACTGACAAAAGCTGTGACGGCCCGGTTGGTTCAAGCTTGGTTGCGTAGTAGAAAGCGAAGGAGTAGACGCTCACATCCGAGCTTACCGGGGAAGGGTTAACTCTTTGTTGTGGAGTTCACTCTGTAAACTCTTCCGCTTCTCCAGCTCCCTTCCTTCATAAAACAGCTCATCACTACTAGCTTACTCATTCGGGGTAGTACTTGCAAAACGCCACCATCAGAGGTTGCGTCTAAGAAGTGTCTTTAACCCCTTGGGGAAAAGGTACCGTCCATGAAAATTACCCCTGTTTTCGTGAGGTCCCCGTATGCCCAATTTCCTTGAAGTTCTTTCCGGGAATGCTAAAGAGCAAAGCGCAGCCATGACCTGCAGAAATTAGTCCACTTCAGTGCAAATATAAATGTCATCAATAAACTGAAGTGGCATGTTGAGAGTTCTCCAGATTCCGTACCTACTCCTGGCTGACTCCTGCCAAGCAACCAGGCAGCCATCAGCAGGTCTGGAATAAGCTAGCCACATTTTACCCTGTGATGCTCTGGAAATGAGAATTCCACTTCCCCCCACCTCCCCCCCCCCCCCCGGTTTTCAGGTCTAGCCTTCTTT